ACCCTCCACCCCCTCCCCTCCCTCCCCCTCAATACTCCAGCAGAAAACTATTTTGCCCTTACTCTAATTTTGTTGAAGAGAGAGATAAGCAATAATAGAAGGAAAAGGGGTTTTTGCTGGTTGAGATAAGGATAGCTATACAGGGCATTGACTCACATTGATTTCCTGTGCCGTGGTGTTACCTTCTAGGTTAATTCTTTTTGATCTAACCTTTTCTCTAGTTCCTGGTCCCCTTTTCCTATTGGCCTCAGTTGCTTTAAGGTATTGCTTTAGTTTCTCTGCATTAAGGGACAAATGCTAGCTAGTTTTTTAGGTGTCTTACCTATCCTCACCCTCCCTTTGTGCTCTCGCTTTTATCATGTGCTCATAGTCCAATCCATTGTTGTGTTGCCCTTGATCTAATGTCCACATATGAGGGAGAAATACGATTTTTGGTCTTTTGAGCCAGGCTAACCTCACTCAGAATGATGTTCTCCAATTCCATCCATTTACCAGCGAGATGATAACATTTGTTCTTCTTCATGGCTGCATAAAATTCCATTGTGTATAGATACCACATTTTCTTAATCCATTGTCAGTGCTGGGGCATCTTGGCTGTTTCCATAACTTGGCTATTGTGATAGTGCCGCAATAAAATGGATGTGCAGTGCCTCTGGAGTAACAGTCTTTTGGGTATATCCCCAAGAGTGGTATTGCTGGATCAAATGGTAGATCGATGTCCAGCTTTTTAAGTAGCCTCCAAATTTTTTTCCAGAGTGGTTGTACTAGTCTACATTCCCACCAACAGTGTAAGAGGGTTCCTTTTTCCCCGCATCCTCGCCAACACCTGTTGTTGGTGGTGTTGCTGATGATGGCTATTCTAACAGGGGTGAGGTGGAATCTTAGTGTGGTTTTAATTTGCATTTCCTTTATTGCTAGAGATGGTGAGCATTTTTTCATGTGTTTTCTGGCCATTTGAATTTCTTCTTTTGAGAAAGTTCTGTTTAGTTCACATGCCCATTTCTTTATTGGTTCATTAGTTTTGGAGAAATTTAGTTTTTTAAGTTCCCTGTATATTCTGGTTATCAGTCCTTTGTCTGATGTATAATTGGCAAATATTTTCTCCCACTCTGTGGGTGTTCTCTTCAGTTTAGAGACCATTTCTTTTGATGAACAGAAGCTTTTTAGTTTTATGAGGTCCCATTTATCTATGCTATCTCTTAGTTGCTGTGCTGCTGGGGTTTCATTGAGAATTTACTATACCTACTAACTCCAGAGTATTTCCTACTCTTTCTTGTATCAACTTAAGAGTTTGGGGTCTGATATTAAGATCCTTGATCCATTTTGAGTTAATCTTGGTATAGGGTGATATACATGGATCTAGTTTCAGTTTTTTGCAGACTGCTAACCAGTTTTCCCAGCAGTTTTTGTTTGAAAGAGGCTGCTATTTCTCCATCGTATATTTTTAGCTCCTTTGTCAAAGATAAGTTGCTCATTAGTTGTGTGGCTTCATATCTGGATCCTATCTTACTTCTTGTTTTCCATGCTGTTGGTTCTTCATTCGTTTTTGTGCCAGTACCGATGCTGTTTTTTTTTTGTTTTTTTTTTCATTTTTCTTTTATTATTCATATGTGCATACAAGGCTGTTCATATTCTCCCCCCTGCCCCACCCCCTCCTTACCACCACATCCGCCCCCTCCCGCTCCCCCCCTCAATACCCAGCAGAAACTATTTTGCCCTTATCTCTAATTTTGTTGTAGAGAGAGTAATAAGCAATAATAGGAAGGAACAAGGGGTTTTGCTGGTTGAGATAAGGATAGCTATACAGGGCATTGACTCAATTGATTTCCTGTGTGCTGGGTGTTACTTCTAGGTTAATTCTTTTTGATCTAACCTTTTGTCTCTAGTTCCTGGTCCCCTTTTCCTATTGGCCTCAGTTGCTTTAAGGTATCTGCTTTATAGTTTTCTGCGTTAAGGGCAACAAATGCTAGCTAGTTTTTAGGTGTCTTACCTATCCTCACCCCTCCTTGTGTGCTCTCGCTTTTATCATGTGCTCATAGTTCCAATCCCCTTTGTTGGTGTTTGCCCTTGATCTAATGTCCACATATGAGGGAGAAATACGATTTTTGGTCTTTTGAGCCAGGCTAACCTCACTCAGAATGTTGTTCTCCAATTCCCATCCATTTACCAGCGATATGATAACATTCGTTCTTCTTCATGGCGCATAAAATTCCATTGTGTAAAGAATACCACACATTTTCTTAATCCATTCGTCAGTGCGGGGCATCTTGGCTGTTTCCTATACTTGGCTATTTGTGAAATAGTGCCGCAATAACATGGATGTGCAGGTGCCTCTGGAGTAACAGTCTTTTGGGTATATCCCGCAAGAGTGGTGTATTGCTGGATCAAATGGTAGATCGATGTCCATCTTTTTAAGTAGCCTCCAAATTTTTTTCCAGAGTGGTTTGTACTAGTCTACATTCCCACCAACAGTGTAAAGGGTTCCTTTTTCCTCCGCATTCCATCGCCAACACCTGTTTGTTGGTGGTGTTGCTGATGATGGCTATTCTAACAGGGGTGAGGTGGAATCCTTAGTGTGGTTTTTAATTTTGCATTTCCTTTAATTGCTAGAGATGGTGAGCCTTTTTTTTTCATGTGTTTTCTGGCCTTTGAATTCTTCTTTTGAGGGAAAGTTCTGTTCGTTTCACTGCCCATTTCTTTATTGGTTCATAGTTTTGGGAGAATTTTAGTTTTTTAAGTTCCCTGTAATATTCTGGTTATCAGTCCGTTGGTCTGATGTTTAATTGGCAATATTTTCTCCACTCTGTGGGTGTTCTCTCATGTTGAGAGAACCATTCTTGATGGAACAGGAAGTCTTTTTAGTTTTCTAATGAGGTCCATTTTGTTCTCTGCTATCTCTAGTGTGCTGTGGCGTGCTGGGGTCTTCATTGAGAAGAGTTTTGTTACCTATAAGCTCTTTACTCAACTCCAGAGTAGTTTCCTACTCTTTCGTTGTATCAACTTAAGCTTATTCATTTAAGTGTGACCCTGGTGTGTATCTGCTTTGCGATATAATTTTTTCTTTCTTTCTTTTTTTTTTTGGTGGGACTGGGGTTTGAATTCAGGGCTTCACACTTGCAAAGCAGGCCCTCTACCAATTGAGCCACTCCTCCAGCCCATTTTGTTCTGGTTATTTTGGAGATCAGAGTTTTCAGGAACTCGTTGCCTGGTCTGGCCTCAAATTGTGATCCTTCTGATCTCAGCCTCCCAAGTAGCTAGGATTACAGGTGCAAGCCACCGGCACTGGGCAGATGCGTAATTTCTTTTTCTTTTTTTGAGGCAGGGTCTCAAAAGGTTGCTTGTATTACCCAGGCTCCTGAACTCACAATTTTTCCTGCCTCATCCTCCCGAGTAATTGGGACCACAGACAACATCCCCCAAGGAGCCGGGCTTTAGCTGCCCAATTCTCCTCTAAGCAAATGCGACAGACTCTTGAGAGCCCAAGAGTCCCCGCCCCCCTCAGCTCCCCCTCACCTCCCTGCGGGCCCGCTCCTCCTCCACCGGCGTGGTGTCATGGTTCTTGTGCTCCTCCAGCAGGCAGGCTCCACACACGCAGCTGCCTTCCGTGCGACAGTACAGCCGCCGCAGCTTGCGGTGCTTCCTGCACAAGCGGGTCTTGAGATCCCACACGGGCTCCAGCAGCTGGTGGTCCTGAAACACCTCGTCCTCGAAGTGGCTGCGCAGGTGCTTCTCACACAGGGACGCCATGCACTGTAGGCATGACTTCACGGACCGGAGCTTCTGTGGGGAACAGAAGTCGCAGGGCACATCCCTGGGTCCAGCCAGCTTCCACAAGGGTCGAGAGGCCTGGCCTTTGGCCTGGGTGAAACAGGCCACCATCTCCCCTAGGATGACGTTCTTGGAGAGGTGGGGCCGGGTGGCGAACATCTCTCTGCACTGGGGGCAGTAGTGTGTCTCGCCCATGGCAGCCTGATGGTCCCAGAAACTCTGGAGGCATGTCATACAGAAGTTGTGGCCGCAGGCAGTAGTGACCGGGTTGCAGAACACCTCCAGGCAAATGGGACAGAGGACTTGGTCTTCCAACATACGGAGATTGCCGCTGTTACTCGTAAGGACCTGGCCTTGGGGAGGTCTGGAGGGCTGGGCAGGGATCTGCAGGTCCGGGACTTGGTCCTGGGATGGCCCTGGGGAGACAGAGCAAAGCCAGGCTGAAGCCAGGCCTCAGCGGGTACACCGTCCTTTCCTTGGAGGCAGTTGTCTGCACATGAGCTACAGGAGCTAGTCATCAGCCAACCCACATGCTGGGAATTGTGCTCTCCTTGTCCCAGCCCCAATTCTGGATGAGGGCGGAGAGGCAGAAGAGCTGCCTCTTGTGACAAAGGAAAGGAACCACTTTCTTGGCACTGGGGAGGAAAGGTTAGAGCACAACTTACTTGAGACTTTCTGCATGGCAGAGAGAGCCAGGTACTTTGCCGCCCTGTGCCAAGAAGGAAAAGAACCTTAGGCACTCAGGTGAAGGGATTGTGCCCAAGCCTCACTCACCAGATGCCGGGAGCGTCCCCATCAGTCTGCTGTACCCCACCTCTTCCGGGGGCCGATGAGCGCCTCCTCACCTTTCCCTGTGGCTGCTGTTTTGTGCCCTCCCTTCCTTGACAACTGTCCTAGTTTTGCTCCCTGATGTCACAATTCAAGTGCAGCCAGCACCCCCCTCACCCCAGCATTCAGCTTGTGATGTCAGTAGGGTGCAGGTGTACCACGGGGCATACCTGGGTGGTCACACATTCTGCCTCTGCCCAGGTAGATTCTTCGCTCCAGTTTCTTTGTCCTGGGTGGCAGAGTGGCCGCTGGCACATGGAGCCGGTGGGTCTAATACCTTTCTGTGTTTCTGATCAAAGAGAGAAAAGGGTAACTAAGTGACAGCAGGATCCTGGGCGGTTCTTTACTCTCTCTGGACCACAGAGCTTATAAATGAACAGAACTGTAGTGGATGATATGTGGAGACCCCCCTTTTGGTCAAAGTACGATGATCCTTGGCCAGGCATGGTGGCTCATGCCTATGATTCTTGGGAACTGGAGATCATCAGAAGGATCACAGTTTGAGGTCAGTCTAGGAATATGTGTGTCTGTGTGTGGCAGGGGGAGTTAGCGAGACCCCCCATCTCCAAAATAACCAAAGCAAAATGGACTGGAGGTGTGGCTAACATAGTAGAGCTCCTGCTTTGGAGTGCCTGCTTTGCAAGCAGGAAGCCCTGAGTTCAAACCCCAATACCCCTCCCCCCACACACAAAAAAAGTTGGGAAGTGTTCTTTATCATTACTTGGAAGAGTAAGATATTCCTCCCTTAAATATTTAGTAGAACTCACTAGTAAAGTCATCTGGGTCCAGAGTGTTTTTCTTTGTTGAGTTTCCAAGTATATATTCAATTTCCTTAAGAGATTTAGAATTATTCATATTGTATATATATGGTTTTTTCTTGGTGGCACTGGAGTTTGAACTCAGGGCCTCACACTTGCTAGGCAGGCACTCTGATGGCTTAAGTCACTCTACCAGCCCTTTTACTGTAATGTTCTTTGTCCAGATAGGATCTCTCAAACTATTTGTCCCAGGCAGGCTTTGAACCGCAAGCCTCCTGATTTCTAGCTAGGATTACAGGCATGAGTTACCAGCATCTGGCCTTGTATAGTTCCTCTTTTATCAATTTTGGTAAATGGCATTTTCCTAGGAATTTGTCCATTTCACCTAAATGTTCAATTTTTTTCTTATAAAGTTGTGTGTCGTCACCCCCCACCCCCCAACCCCAGTCAAGCACTGGGGATTGAACTCAGGGCTTCAGGTTTCATAGACAAGCACTCTACTACTTGAGCCACACTTCCAGCCTTTACATGTGTTCTTCTTGCATAATCCTCATTATTTGTGGTACTTATGGTCTATAAAGTTATCATGAACACCGAACTAGTGAATACTGAATCATTGGTCTATGGGAAATACATGGTTAGTTTCCTGCAAACCTCTGGTCACTGTGTGTGTGTGTGTGTGTGGACTAGAGGTCGGACCCAGGGCCTCCTCAAACATGCCAGGCAAGCTTCCTACCACTAAGCTATACCCCCAGGTCCTGGTCACATTTCTGTCAATATATAATCCTCTCTGGCCATGGCAGTGTGTACTTCCAGCTACCCAGGAGGTTGAGATGGGAGGATCACTTGAGCCCAGGAGTTTGAGGTCAGCCTAGGCAGCACAACAAGACCCTGTCTCAAAAAACTTAAAAGTAAAACCAGGGCAGGTTGGTGTGTGGTAAATTGGAGTGGTAATTTGAAGCTAAAGATGATGATGTATTCCTTCAGAACAGATTTGTGACTACTTATGGCATGAGGTGAGGGGAACTAGCAATACTAGTCCAATCAGGGCACAAGATGACTCTGGTGCCCTCCCAGCCTGGTGCAGGCAGGTCTGGTTGGTTTCTGGCTGTCCCTGCCTCCTAGACTGTGTTCCCTGGGGACCCTAACCTGCAGTAGGGGGCTTTTACCTGGGGCCCTTCTCTGGAACACCCTGTTCTCCAGGATCGATCTTTAAATCCATGTGAGCTAAGAAAAGCTTTGTTAGTACTCAGCTGCCTTTGCTACACACAGCACAAAACACCAGGAAACAAGTCTCTAAGTGCTGCATTCACTTCTCTGGCTTTCCTTCTGCTTCTAGGCCCTGTAATTCTTTCTTTCTTTTTTTTTTTTTGAGGTACTGGGGTTTGAACTCAAAGTCTACACCTTGAGTCAGTCACTCCACCAGCCCTTTTTTTGTAAAGGGTTTTTCGAGATAGGGTCTAGCAAACTATTTGCCCAGGCTGGCTTTGAACCGCAATCCTCCTGATCTCTGCCTCCTGAGCAGCTGGGATTACAGGTGTGAGCCACCAGTGCTCTAATTCTTTGTTAGAATACATGCATGTGCACACATGTGTCTGTATTCTTTCTCTCCCTCTTTCTTAGATTTTTCTGCTATTTTGAGAGTGAATGTTGGGCAGAATTATGTGGTCCACCAGTATCAGAAGCTCAGCATCTAATTTGACTCCCCCTCTACTTATTCAGGCCCTGCCTGTTCAGATGCACTCAGAGTGCGGCTCCCACTGACATGCATTAGAGGCAGATGGTCCTCCCCACAGGCAGCCGGACACACTCCAGGGAGTGGACTCACATAACTTGTGAGTCCAGCTCTCTCTCTCTCTCTCTCTCTCTCTCATCCCTGACCACTTCTCAGTCGCTTCCATTGTCTGTTCTTCCCTCTCTTGTCTTTTCTGGGTTTCTGTCCCTTAGAGTCTGTCCTAGGAAAGTTTACCGAAGCTTGGACACTTTCCGCCACAGTGCTCACCCAGCGGTGTTCAGTCTTTGTTACTGGGCTGGTGTAGGCGTTGAGGATTTTCCTTTAAAAAAAAAAAAGAATACTTTTTTTATTATTAGCATAGATTAGTTGCACGGGGGGATGCGTTGTGACATTTACACGTATGCTTACACTATATCTTAATTAGATTCAGCACCTCATCGTTCTCCTATATACCCGTGGTGGAGGATTTTTTGGGTTTTTTTTGTGGGACTGGGGTTTGAACTAAGGGCTTCGAGCTTCCAAAGCAGGTGCTCTACCACTTGAAGGATTTTTAAAGCTCTACCCATAAGGAGAAGGAGCCATGCAGACACCAGTGATGGCCTCTGATATCCATGCTCTTTAAAACAAGACCCCAAAACTTAAGGTTGGCATGAGTGCCACCCAACAAAGCCGGTCTCTCTTGAGGCCTGAGCTGTGTGACTAAGTTTTAGCCAATGGGACAAGACACAAATGTGGTGACTTCTTCCTAAAAAGGAAAGGCAGTGTCCTCTTCATGTCCTTTTCCTAGACCTGGACCCGCCATCTCAGATCCTGCGGTGGACAAGCAATAGAGGGGAGGGTGAATGAAGGAGATCAAGGTAAGGGTGTGTGGCGGACGGACTTCATATACCTATATGAAAGAACAAGGAACCTCTTGCAACTGCTTTAAGTGGGGTGGGTTGGGGTTGAGGCAGAGATACTGTGGGGGTGAGCTAACCAATTTACAATAGAAGCCTAATTGGAATTGTCACAATGAATCCCCCCTGTAAAAATATATCCTAATTAAGAAAAATTAAAAAAAAACAGAGAGGGAGAAAGAGTGCTGGTTTCTACACAACAAAGCTGCCATGTTGACTTGTTTACCAAGTATGTTTGAATTACTGTGAGAGACAGAAATAAAATTCCAACATATTTAAGTCACTGCCACTTTGGCTTTTATGAAGGTAGTTTAGCATCTCAGCTAAATCATAACTGAAACAGCAGTTTGTTATTACTATGTGCAACATACAATGTTACATTTTAAGAATGCCCAAAGGAGCCCAGCACCTGTGGCTCGTGCCTGTAATCCTAGCTACTCAGGAGGCAGATATCAGGAGGATTGCAGCTTACAGTTCCTCAAGAGGCAAATAGTTCCTCAAGATCCTATTCTTGAAAAAGCCCATCACAAAAAAGGGCTGGTGGAGTGGCTCAAGGTGAAGACCCTGACTTCAAACCCCAGTACCACAAAATAAATAAATAAATAAATAAGAATGCCAAAAGCTGGGCACCTGTGGCTCACTCCTGTAATTCTAGATACTCAGGAGGCAGAGATCAGGAGGATCGAGCTTCAAAGCCAGCCCAGGCAAATAGTTTCTGAGACCCTATCTTGAAAAACCCTTCACAAAAATAGGGCTGGTGGAGTGGCTCAAGGTGAAGGCCCTGAGTTCAAATCCCAGTACTGCAAAAAAAAAGAATGCTAAATGGTAGAACAATTTAGATTAAGAGACTAACGAGATATAAAATAAAAATATGATATACAAGCCTTGATTAGATTTGGGCTTAAAAAAAAAGTACCTAGCCCAGGTAACACCAGGTGGTGCACACCTGTAATACCAGCATGTGGGAGGCAGAGGCAGGAGGATCAAGAGTTCAAGACCAGCTTGACCAATGGAGTGAGATCCTGTCTCAAAAAAAATTCTTAACAATCAATATACACTTAAAAAAATTAAAGACGGGAAGATAAAACAGGTACTGTTCAGGGAGAGTAGCAGAGGGAAGGAGGAGGGTAAATAGAGAGGATGAAGGAGGGAGAACATGGTGGATGTACTTTGCGTTGAAATTTTTCTAAGAAGCAAGGGATGGGGTGAAGGACAATGTGGATGAGGTGAATATAATTAAGATACATTCTAAGTACATATGTAAATATCATAATGAAACCCCTCTGTACAACTAATGTATGCTAATGAAAGTGTAAAAAATATTAATTTCCTCCCACTCAATCAAGTCTTCTCCACAGATAATTGATTTCGTTTAAAAAAAGCCAGGTGTGGGTGGTCCATGCCTGCAATCCTATCTACTTGGGAGGCTAAAATTAGGAGGATCGAGATTTGAGGCCAGCTCAGGCAAATAGTTCCCAAGATCCCAGCTCCAAAATAACTGTTGCAGGAAATTATGAGCTGATATACGAGTCTCTGAGGCAGATTAGCAGGAAGCAACGTTTATTGTGCTGGCACAGACCCAGCAGACTCTCGTCCAAAGGCTGAGTCCCAAGAACAAAGTCTCACCTTTTATACCCTTGCAAGCCGGTTACAGGAGCAAAGGGCAAAGCTCAACCCACCTATGGCTGCATGTGACTCCATTGGCTATTTCATTTTCCCAGTGCTGTGTGACCTTCATGTTTCAATTCTTTCAGTTTTATCTCTCTGCTTTGCCATCCCCTCCCCCTGTCTCGTCCTCAGAACACCAGCCTTTCTGTTTCTTTTCTGACCTCCCCTTTTTTGCTACATAACCAAGACTGGAGGTGTGGCTCAAGCTGTAGAGTGCCAGCTTTGTAAAGCCATGAGTTCAAACTCCAGTCCCCCCCAAAAAAAAAAAAAAAAAGCCATCAGTGAAGTCAGTCTAGATGAGGCATTTAAGTATTTTCAGATGAAAGTGTGCCTGTATTTATATTTGGGTGGTCAAACCCTTGCATTTGGTTTCATGTAACTGATCATGAATACTCTTATAATGTAAGATAGGAGTGAGCACTGTGGAAATTATATAGGCTACACCAGGTTAGTCATTACCAGTGGTTGTGCAATAAAGTCAGTATTGCAGGAGAAAACAAACAAAAAGCAGCTAACTTTGGGACAATTGAGAACATTCAAGTATAATGTAGATTTCTTAGATGATTTTGTAGAGTTACTGTTATTCTCTTAGATGTGATATCAGTAATGTGGTAATTGTGTAGGGAAGAATCTCTTTATTTTTAGGATATGCCTGCTGAATTATTTCATGGTGAAGATTATTTTCACATGGTTCAGCAAATGCTCTCTGGTGTATGAAGCAACTACAATCAACACAGCTGGCACATAAATGTTCCCCATGCTATTTTTTTTACTTTTGCATAGGCATATGGGATTTACCTAATAGAGTGTTGGGAGATAAGGTGAGTTTTGCCCCACTCCATTGGATCAGTCACTAAGTTCAGGAATAATGGGCTGGTATTGAGTGTGGGCTCTGGGGCCTGATTACTGGGCCCTTCTCAGGGCCCATGTCCTTTGCCTTCAAGCCTCAGTTTTCCCAGTACACTTGCTATGGTTTGGATATACTTGGGGTTGGGAATTTGGTCCTCAGTATGGTGATGTGAGAGGTGGTGGGCCCTTTAAGAGGTGGGGCCTCATGGGAGGGTGTTAGGTCATAGGAAGCATGGAAGGGATTGAGATAGTTTTCAAGGAATCCTGAGTTTTTTTTTTTTTCTTCTTTCTTTCTCTGAGTTAGTTCTTTGGCTTTTTTTTTTCCCCTTCCTCTCTCCCTTCCTTCCTTTCTTCCTTCCTTCCTTCCTCCCTCCCTTCCTTCCTCCCTCCCTTCCTCTCCCTTCCTTTTTCTTTTCTTTATCTTTCCTTTTTTTTCTGAGTTAGTTCTTAGAGAGCAAATTGTTATAAAAGAGTGACTGAGGCTTTTCCCCAAGCTCTCACCATATGGTCTCTCCCTCTCTTGCACCATCATGCAGCCAGGGGCCCTCACCAGAGTTAGTGCTATGCTGTTTGGACTATCAGCCTCCTAAAACCGTGAGCTAAATAAACCTTTTCTCTGTAAGTCATCCAGCCAGCCTCAGGTACCTTGTTATAGTAATGGAAAATGTACTAAGATACAATCGCAGAACTGTGTGACACACAGCAGGTCACCTAACACTTTTGCCCAGGTTTTCTCATCTCAAACATGGGAGTGAGAGTGACTGGTGAGGCTGTTGTGATGAAGGAGCAAGTGAGTACTCAGAACAGTGAGGCTCTGAACTTGGAACTTGGTGGCCTCCGCCTCTTCTATCAGGCAGGTTAGTGAAAACACTTAAAGAACTAAGTGTTCAGTTCATAGTCCTATGATTATCGAACATCCCGGGAGCCAGCCTTACGGAGGACATCCTGCTGCCCCTGCCTCTGACCCAACCTACTGTGTTACATCATGCTGGCTCCATGCCATTTTCTCAGCTCTCACCTGCCCGTAACTCTTCCACCACCCAAACCTCCCTCCCTAAATCCTAGTCTTGCCCTCCGAATTTCAGCATTGCCATTCTGTCCTTCTAACTCTGCCCAGGTTCTGAGCTGTTACAGAAGCTTCCCGCCTGCCTCCCACCTCCAGAACTCCTGACCTCCCCTCTCCTCCGGTCTTCCACAGACCTTGGAGACTTTGGGACTTTGGTGCTAGCACATTTGGGAGTGTGCAGCACCTGGCCTCAAGTATGCACACGTGTGCTCTAGTTCTGGGACACAGGTGCCAGGCTTGAGCAATGCTGAGGAAGTGGCAGAGTCCAGGTATTCTTGTGCCTGCTGGTCAGGGTCTAGTTCAAGAACTCCGTTCCATCTTCCAAATCTCTCCTTCTTGAGTATGTGCTTGTCAATCTCAACTGAGCAAAGCAGAGGTATTTTAAGTCCTTTGAACTCAGGACCCGTGCTTGCTCAGCAGGTGTGCTACCACTTGAGTGAGTCATTCCCCCAGCCCATGTTCTTTGCCTTGCTATACTCATCATGTGTGCAAGGCTACCAGAATGAAATGTGTATAGAAGCAAGAACTCAACCTTGGACAAAAAGCAATCTAAGAATGTTTAAGGGAAGGATTTGCTCACATTCTCCTTACAGGAAAGTTTGGGAATACACAGAAACTATTAATCCTTCATCCATCTTGGAACTTTTTTTGTTAGACAAAATTATGAGAAAGCTAGCATAGGTTCAAATACTCCAATTTATGTGTATGACTTAGATTTTGATGTGTAAAATTTGATTTGGGGAGCCACTGTAGTAGTACATGCTTGTAATCCCAGCTACCTGGGATGCTGAGACAGAAGGGTCACAGTTCAAGGTCAGCCTGGATAGTGTAGTGAGATCCTGTCTCAAAATTAAAACGGGACATGGATACAGCTTAATTGTAGCGTCCTTGGCTAACTTCTGCAAGGTCCTGGGTTAGATCCCCATACTCCCTGAAAAAAAAACTCCCCCCAAACCCAGAAACAATTTAATTGCACTGTATACAAAACTGATCAAGGAGCCTGGTATCAATGGCTCATGCCTGTAATCCTAGCTACTTAGGAGGCTGAGATGAGGAGGATTGCAGTTTGAGGCCAGCCTGAACAAAAAAGTTCATGAGCCCCACCCCATCTCAACCAAGAGCTGGGTGTGGTGGCACACTCCTGTCATTCCAGCTATGGAAATGAGAAGTAAGGACCCTGTGAGGTACCTGGAGACAGGAAGCCCATCTCCTGGCCAGTCTGGGAGAACTGACAGAAGGAGCTACAGGAGCTGGGAATGACGGCAAACACATGAGTTCAAGAGCCAGATGTTGCTTCACATCTTTATTGACAAAAAAAAGTCACAGCATTGCAGACTTTGTTCAATCAGACACATGAACAATAACAAGGGCACCCAATAGTGACAGGCATGATTCCAAAGGTCTGGTTCAAAGACCATGCTAGAGGGTGTGGGTGTCCCTTTAGCTTTCCTCTTTCAACATCTCTATTGCTTTCTCCCCACACCTTGCTGACACCCCAAAGCAGTTGCCTGTACGGAGATGAAGGGAGGCTGGGCCCACTCACCACCAAGGTTCTGAAGAAAAGTCAGAGGGGTGCTACTTCAGTGCTTAGGAGATGATGGTGCTCCTGGGCCCAGCTGGCATCTCCCAAGGCCCAGACCTGGGGTAGACAAAAAGGCAGAAAGACACTCCCACTTGGCAGTCCTGGGAGGAAGCAGAGACTGTGGGTCACTGGTCATGTGACACCCCCAAACCAATGGGCATGCCTCCTCTCTCTGCCTCGATCAGTCAGACTCTCCCGGGAAGCTTTCAAGCAAGAACACGGGTCTGGTTCAAAGCGCTTGAGTAAAATACTCCCCAGAAACCTTAAGGAGTCACCCCAAATGCCTGGAGCACAGGACAGTTCAACCAACACTGGGCTGCAGTGGGGAGGGAAACTTCAATACGGCCATCTAGAGACTAGTGCTCGCGGCACTCTGTACAGGATCAGCTGTGGAATTCGGAGTTAACTGACAGTAGCAGTGTATCCATGAGGAACGTGCCTGTCTGCTCTCCTTGCTCCTTTTTTGCTGAACTTGGTGGTAGAATTGGGATTGGGACTTGAGGCTCTGGCTCTACCCAGAGCCCTGCTGGGAGCTTATCAGCTGTGTCCCAGGGAGGCAGAAGGACAAAGGGCCTATACAAGGGCATGTGGGCACAAGGTCCGGAGCACTTCCTAGTCTGGCATACATGCTCAGTTTGCCCAAAGGCCTGAGGCAGGGGCTGTGCTATTCCTGCTCTCCTTACTTTTACTTGATTACATCAAGTAAAAGATACAACTGGATGGATGCCTGTGTCCCCTTGGAAGGGGTGACTGATTTTCCTGCAGGTGTAAAAATACTGGTACAGTCAAGACTTCTGAGGTGCCACAGGTACCTCCACTAGTGTGGACACACAGGTGCCAGCAGGGATCCTGCACAGACACATATTTCTATGCTACTCTACAGATACAGAGAAAGAAAGAGCAAGAATCCTGGAGACAAGTTTAGCCCTGGTAAGTCATATGCTCAAATCTGGCAGAGTGGACAATCTTTCCAGAAATCACTACCCTCAAGCTCTGGTGAGCAGCTGAGCTGGGGAGTGCAGAGAACCCTGGCATTGAAGGCTAAGAGGCACTGGGCCTGAGGGGGGCTTTTACAGAGATCGTTCCTGTGGCAGCTTCCCCTGCTCCACACATGTGCCACACTGCTGGAAGGTGTCTAGGGAAAATGACTGCTCATGGAGACTTTAAAAGCTCAAAGAGGAAGTGAAGACACAAGCTCTGTGTTTACAGAACCCTGGTCAGTTAAACACTGAGTCCTCCCCACACGGTGCTCCCCATGAAGAGAGATGGGAGTCAGAGTTGCAGGGAGTCCTCAGACTGCTTTCACGTGCACGTGCACACACACACACACACACACTGCTGGGGCTGCTGCAGTCACTGACGGTCCTGCAGGGCAGGATTGTCAAGGTTAGAAACCAAGGAGACACAAGTGTTGCCCATCAATCAGGGCATTTTCAAGAGAAAAATCACAAAAACACTTTAACTACAACAGGATACATTTTGCAACTTCCACAGAAACAGCCTTCCTCGCCCCAAGCCACCAGAAGGTGCACAAAGTACTTTCTCTTTGGTCCAGTTTACAAAGCTGGGGAAGGAAGACAGGGTCAATGGGGTAAGAAAAGGCTGCAGAAGCAGTCATGCCAACTGCCTAGCTCCTCTGTCTGCCCAACACCATTAAGGATACCAGTGTGGCAAACAACCTTCTAGGAGAAGGTAGGCAGTGTGGGGCCAAGCTGCTGGGGACACACCAGGCAGGAAATGCTCCAAACCGACAGAGGTGACCACTACCCTTCCCTGCCTTGGGAGGTTCTGTTCCTAGGAATGTGGATCCTCCAGCTAATTCTCTCTCCAAAACCTCATTTGAGCACACTGAAGCTGGAGCCCTTTGCATCTCCTGCATGCCTCCACAGGTGCCTTGGAGGGGGGAATGGTCTGAGGCAGCTGCCAACATCCAACATGGCACACTCAGGGTGAGGCCAGGTACAGTTTGGGTTAATCCTCCTTCCTGTGCTCCTGCTTCCTTGACTTTCAGGCCATTTCCAAGGAGCTGGCCTTCATCCCCTTCTCCCAGATCCCCAAAACGCTCCAACTGGGGACCCAGCCCAGCTGCTGTTGCACAGTCTATCAGAACACTGGCTAAGAGAACAAAAGCAGGTTTCAGAAAAGCTGATCTGCGGCCAGAGGTGCATCTGTGTTTGGAGTCCTGAGGGTGGGGTGGGGAATCCTTTGGTTTTGACCAGATGCTTCTTCACCGGGGGGGCCAGGCTCATCTTTGCTTTGCAGTAGCTTAGTTACTGTACAGGTGAAGACTTCACGGAGCTGTTCTGCTGGATCGCTCTCTTGCCCTTCAGGATTCTAGAATTTTAGATTCTGCTTACATCCGAGATCCTCTCTCCTGAAGAATCTAAAAGTGGAAGATGAGGGAGAAGACTGAGCAGGTTGCTGTGGGAAGGAAGGACCCATACAGGCCGGGGTGCAGTTCAGTGGTATAGTGCATGCTTAGCATTGTTGCATTCCATTCCCAATGCCACAAAAAAAATTTTTAAGTAAAAGATTTAAATTTTAGTAGATTATCTTATTATAGTAGTTAAGAAATCAATCATAAAAATGATTTTAAAAAGAGAAAAAGACCAACAGCTGCTTCCACTGGGCCCTGTGAGCATCAAGCAGGTACACACCACATTGAGCACCTGGGTTGCTGAAGATCCACTTGCTTCATGATTGGGTCTACAGTTTCTGTGGTGTTGGATCACTTTTCTCATGTTAAAGAAGTCAGGTCAAGGTCACTACACACTGGCACTTCAGAAGTATGTGTGTTTGTGGGACACAGTGGAGAAGATAACACCATAAAACAACCTTCTAAGAACTTGATGGAAGAGCCAGTCCCCCCTGAGGCAGCAAAAAGAAAGCCACAGCTCCACAGAACAAAGGCCGGTTCTGGACAGGATTCCAGGTCCAGAACTCCCACTGTGTGGTGATCAGTGCAAGAGAACTTTTGCTTTTGCTCCACCAACTTTGAAGAGGCTAGAGAAGCCACCCTTTCCAGGTTCAGGCTTCCTAAGTGAAAATCCCCTGTGGCTGCTCTATAAATCCTGACTTAACACCAGCAGTCAAAAGATATACTGGGGCTCAAGTGGTAGAGCACCTGCCTAGCAAGAGTGAGGTCCTGAGTTCAACCCCTAGTATTCCCTGACCCCCCTCCCCCCACCAAAAAAAGACTAATAATTTGGGCTGGGTGAGATGGTCCCACCTGTAATCTGTAATCCCAGGTATTTGGGAGACAGAGATCAGGATGAGAGATTGGGAGGACTGCGGTTTGAAGCCAGCCTGAGTAAAGAAGAGCACAAAGAGGGGAAGAACACAACTGGCTGCAGTAGGAACAAGGGAACCGAATAGCAGCAACTCAGGCAAGCTTCAGAGGGGCTGGACACAACTGAGCCAGAGGCACAACCTGGTAAAGCCAGTTTTTTTTTTTTTTTTTTTCCTGAGACAGGATATTACTATGTAGCCCAGGCTGGCCTCGAACTTGCAATTCTCCTACCATGGCTTCCTGAGTGCTTGGATTACAGGCATGAACTACCATGCCCGGCTCTTTGGTTTTTACCTTTGCCTTTTCGCTCGGTTTCTATACAATGCCGTTGGTAGAATTATTAGTTCTCTGGAGACGACACAGAGGAATTCTGCTTGATCTTCATTTCCATAGTTATAGGAGGATCCAATGCTGATTAGCTGACAAAACAAGAAGAGGGTGACCATACAAGCAGTGATCTTAAAACACTCAAGAATTAAAATACATCTTTCCTCTGCCTGGACTTTGTAGTCTTACATCTCAAAGGGCTACAAGTCCCAGGGACCTCAGTTATCACCAGGGCAAAACAGTGAGGCTAAGAAACAGATTCTAAGTCCTACTCTTGCCTCTCACACAAGAATTTGCAACTATCAAAGGCAGTGGCAGCATTAGCATGGCCACTCTTCCGTCAAACACCAGGTGAAACAGAATTGTTTCTGCAAATGAAGAAGGACATATGCTTTCGTCAAAATGCAGAAGTGACTCATTGTGAGCAGACTAGACAGGAGGCTGGTTCGCAGAAGGACCTGGATTGCCCCATGGGAATCACTCAACAACAACCAAAAGTCACATGCTGCTGGTACTTCTAAGCCTTTTGGGGATTTAAGTCCAGCACTTAATTCTGAAACTGCACATGCAGAGGGGGAAGCTAAGCCAGAGACCAAGGTTGTCCTCACAAGCATGCAAGGCATCAAGTCAGAAGACCCCTGGTGCTGTGGCTAGGGAGGGGCACCTAAGCCCCATGTCCAACTTCCTCATCCATACCACAGAGGCAATGAGAACAGACTTCAGACCTTAATAGCATATTAAAAAGATAAGAAATTATTCATGAGAGTTGGGGATGTAGCCCAATAGTAGAGCACTTGCTTAGCATATATGAGGCCCTGGGTTCCATCCCCAACACTGGAAAAAAAAAATACTAATTTATATTACAAATATTCTTTGTAGCTGGGGGCTGGTGGCTCATGCCTATAATCCTAGCTACTTGGGAGACTGAGATCTGGGGGATCACGGTTTGAGGCCAGCCTGGGCAAATAGTTCATGAGACCTGCATCTGCAAAATAATCAGAACAAAATGGACTGCAGGTGTGGCTCAAGTGAGTACCTCCTTTGTCAGTGAAAAAGCCTGAGTTCAAACCCCAGTTCTATCAAATATATATAAATTTAGCTTAGCTGGGTGCCAGTGGCTCACATAGGTACTTGGATGGCTGAGATCAGGAAGACAGTGGTTAGAGGTAAGCCCAGGCAAACAGTTCTTAAGACTCCACCTCCAAAATAACACAAAATAGCACGTCCCTTGCAAGCAGGAGGGCCTGAGTTCAAACTCCAGTACCACCACAAAAATCAAAACAAAAAAACCCCTCTGCTTAAGACTTTGTATCAGGGAAATACTTCTTACTTCTAGATGGAGGACAAAAAAACCTGGGCTATATTTTGTTCCTACCTCCAACCCCCACTGAGAACTAGCTGGCACACAGGGGCAGGATTGATTCTGTAGTGGAAGACAAATGTGAGGAATGATTCAGCATAGACTCTGAAGAGAGAGACAGCTATGCATGTGATCTATAACCTAATATTGTTACCAGAAACTGTAATTTGTACTTTTTTTTTTTTGGTGAGACTGGGGTTTGAACTCGGGTTTATGCTTGCAAAGCAGGCAGGCGCTCTAGTCCTTGAGCCACACCTCCGTCCATTTTTGCTCTAGTTATTTTGGAGATGGAATCTTGTGAACTATTTCTTGGGCTGGCCTTGAACCATGATCCTCTAGATCTCAGTCTCTCAAGCAGCTAGGATTACAGGTGTGAGCCACCAGTGCTTGCTTATATTCTTGAAGGTGAGCTTAGGTGACAGTTGGGTTGGTCTCTTCAACAACACATCAAAACAGGCATGATTAGCTGGGCACTGGTGGCTCATGCTTGTAATCCTAGCTGCTCAGGAGGCAGAGATCAGGAGGATCAAGGTTCAAAGCCAGCCCAGGGAAATAGTTTGCAAGACCCTATCTTGAAAAAGACCTATCACCAAAAAGGGCTGGTGGAGTGGCTCAAAGTGTAGGCCCTGAGTTCAAGCCCCAGAACTTCAGGAAAAAAAAAAAAAAAAAAGGCATGATTCATATAAAATTATATTCCCTCGATTCTCTCTCAGCCTTCCTGTTTTGAATAGGAGGAATCCTGCCACCTAATGGAAGAAAACAGTAAGTCTCAGACTCTCAGAGGCTTTGTTCTGATACCTCAATCCTAAACTCAATGCTAAAAGAACTCAAAGCTGAAAAAAACCCTCAAAGCTAAAAGAACTGAGAACAATGGAAGTGACTGTGCCATGCTTTTCATTTGTGTCTGATCCCTTCACAGTGCCCTGGCTCACAGAGCTTTTATAGTGGGTTATACATACACTCAAAATTATAAAGTTCAGACTCTGGAAGAAAAAAGGCTTGATGTCAAATCCCAGTTTTCTTTTGAGTGACTCATTCTAGACTATGTCAACACAGCAATTTTTGAAAGAAAACCCTCTGAGGGAAGAAAAACCAAAGGCAGGATTTTCAAGCCTAGACAAGCTTATTGATTCCCCTGAGCACTGTCAAGTTGGAAGCTGGATACAAAGCTGGACCACATGGTCCTCTCCTCCTAACCCATCACAGGCTACTGAGCACACAGTGTCAAGTGGCTCTTTTCTCACATTTTGTAACAGGACTGCACTAACCCCACCATCCAGTTATGGACTGGTGGATAATAATTGTGGAGTTGTGGCCCTTGAAGACGAGGCATGAGCTGAGGTTGCTGCTCTTTGAGAAATATACCTGCTCGAATTTCCAGCCGTCAGACATGGTGGAGACCATCTGTGTGAGCTCTTCTTCTTGACACTGCAGGACTCTGTACACATGCTTCACAGGGCCCTGCAACAAGCCGGCAGACTGAGGAGAACAGCAGGACCGACCATCCGCAGCTGCTCTTCCACCACCCACCACCCGTTCGTTACACACTGTGATTTCCCAAGGAAAACTCAGCCAAGGAGAGAAGGGGAGAAAAGGATTCAAGAAATGGACCCGTGGGTAAAATAACTCTGAACTTTGAAGGGGTGAATAACGTGAGCGAATGGGCTAACAAACTTAGATTTCATCATTTCTCCAGCTAATGTGCACAAGAAGATCACATTTTTTTCTGAAGTGGTTTATGTAAGATATACATGATAAAATTGTACACCATATTTTGCTGTATGCAAACTGATAAGTGATCATGGGAATAATGTACTAAAATATGAAAGCTAATTTATTAAATAGAAAGTACATAATGTACACATGTTCAAGTTGTTTTTATCTACTGCTGATAATACCTTGATGTGTTTTAGTGACACAGCAGCATTCCTGTTACAGAAGTATGGCATAATAAAATATAAGTATTTGTTTTTTTGTTTGCATTCCTGGCAGAGCTCCCCAAGCCCTTGGAATTTCCCGAGTAATAAGAGTGTTTTGCTGAGTGTTGTAGTTCACACCTGTAATTCCAGCACTCAGGAGGCTGGGGAAGGAGGAGTATAAGTTTGAGGCCAGCCTGGGCTACATAATGAGATCATGTCCCCCCCAAAAGTCTTGAGGCCCTAGTGGGCTCAGTGGCAGAGTGCCTGCTTAGCATGTGTGAGGCCCTTGGTTAACCCCTGCACTATAATTAGTAAAACAAGACAAAAAAACTAAAAGAATGTTATATAATTTTTAACCACGATACTAAGACTAAAAACATTTTCTCCTATATAAATACAGGAGTAGCTGGACAGAGTGGCTCATGTCTGAAATCCCAGCACTCAGGAGGCTGAGGCAGGATGATTTAAAGTTCCAGGCAGGCCTGGGCTACATAGTTAAGACCTCATCTCAAAACACCTAAAACGTAAAAATAAAATAAAACATAGGACAAATCCTCTGAAGATTTCCATTGGTTCTATCCGTACATTTTAGAAACAACCAGAGGCTTAATAATATAAAATTCAAATCTTCACAAAAGATCTGTGATACTGGCATAGCTGCCAAAGTTCCTGGTATTTAAGATGCCACTGTATTGCCTATTTTTCTTTCTCCTCCAAAGTAAACTAGTGGTGCTCTGAAAAGCATCAAGATTAATCACCTGCAAGAAATTATTGGAGTGGCTCACGCCTGTAACCCTAGCTACTCAGGAGGCAGAGATCAGAAGGACTGAGGTTCGAAGCCAGCCAGGGCAAATAGTTCGTAAGACCCTATCTCGAAAACACCCATCACAAAAAAGGCCTCGAGATGTAAACCCTGAGTTCAAATCCAGTACTGCTAAAAAAAAAAATTATTGGAGACAAGTAAAGTAGTTAAAATGGTGGCAGCCACCAAAACAGATAAGAGGGTGGCCGGGTGCAGTGCCTCATATCTGTAATCCCAACTATTCAAGAAGAGGAGCTTGGGAGGGTTGCAATTCAATCAAGGCCAGTCCAGGCAAAAAGTTCACGAGACCCCATCTCAGCCAACAGCTGGGTGTGGTGGTGCGCCTGTCATCCTATTTATGTGGGAAGCACAGATAAGAGGCTCACAGTCCAGTCTGGACTGGGCAAAAATGGAAAACCCTATCCTAATTATAACTAAAGCAAAAAGGGTTGTAGGCATGGCTCTAGTACCAACAAAACAAACAAAAAAAGAAGGAAAAAAGGAAAGAAAGAAAGAAGAAAACAAAGAGATAAGGGCTATGACAATAAAAGTGTGTTAGGATAGGATCACCCAGTCTTGGGTTTTGCCTGAATGCTTGCCATATGAGACTTCAGACAAGTGAATGTTTGGAAAGTCACACAGCCAACTTCATCTTAGAACCATGTGTGACAAGGGGAAAAGAGGGTGTCTCTAAAACATCAAATCCATTTCTCAGTTCCACTAAATAAAAAGGACAGATGGAAAGATCAATTAACATTGAAAAGGTCTTGACATTCCTAGAACAAAAAAGCTTCCAACTGGGTATAAATCCACAAGCCTTCAGAACTTAGCAATTAAGTTAATTGCTGTCCTCAAATAGAAATCTTACAGCTCTCAAAGAATTAGCTAATGGCAAAGAATGCAAAATGTTCAGGTAAGACGATTTGAATGGTAAGTTACATAATTCACAGTACCATCAAAATTTCTATTAAGCAATCGTGTGTGTGTGTGCGCGCGCGCGCGCGCGTGTTTAACTGGTGGCTCAGACAGGGGAAATAGTTCATGGGACTTCATCTCCAAAATAACCAGAGCAAAATGGACTGGAGGTGTGGCTCAATAGGTAGAGCTCCTGGTTTGCAAGCATGAAGTGTAAGTTCAAATCCCAGTTCCCCTCCGCCCCACAAAAGAATGTGGAAAATTGAGGATAAAGCTAGATTTCCAAAACAGTGAAATATGCCATGGAAATATAAGGTGGTCAAGACTGGCAACTCTAGCTCACGTTTCAAGTACAGATTCATCTGCAAATATCAATGAGAAGTTCCTAGCTGGCAAATAAGACTTCCTTCCACCTTTGCAAACAGTGGTGTCAGTTTTTCATCCAGACACTTCATTTAGAGTCAGAAAAATGTTAATACATAAGGTCTAACAAAACATTTTCTTTTTACTTTTATAGAGGTTGAGTACCTTCTTTTTGGTTACGGGAAAGTCCTATGCTGTGAAAGATTAAAGAAAGCATCGGGACCTGGTGTGATCAAGATTAAAGAAGGCATCGGGACCTGGTGTGATCAAGATTAAAGAAGGCGTCGGGGCCTGGTGTGATCAAGATTAAAGAAGGCGTCGGGGCCTGGTGTGATCAAGATTAAAGAAGGCATCGGGGCCTGGTGTGATCAAGGGCCATGAGACTAAAGACGACCGTGGAGCACAGCTCTGCCCTCTGCTACTGCAACTCTGGAGTTGTTCTCGTTCTTTCTTCTTTGTTTTCATTTTTAAATTAAAAATTTTTATTTTATCGTTCTTTACATTTACTTACATGTGTATAAGTTATTTGGGCTACCTTGCCCCTCCTCCATCACCGTTGTTCTTTCTCAAATACAGGAACGGGTGTCTATTTTTCCTGCTAGACTTCAAGCTTCTTGGGGGCAAGGACCTTCTGTTACTCACAGAACCCCAAGGGCTTTGAATAGATGTTGCGGTGGCCTTTCAAGTACATGATGAAAGGCATGTGAAATAAGCTAAGTATACCCTATCATCTGCCCTTTCCTCAAAGTAGGTGGGAAATTCTGTTTCATTTTTGTTACTACATCTACTGAGCTAATATAAAAATCCAGACATCGTAATAAAAAAGAGAAACCTGCCTGGTGCAGTGTAATCCCAGCTACTCATGGAGCAGAGACTGGGAGGATGGAGGTTTGAGACCAGTGGGGGAGTTAGCAAAACTCCATCTCAAGCTGGCCACCAGTGGCTCACACCTGTGATCCTAGCTCCTCAGGAGGCAGAGATCAGGAGGATCAAGGTTCGAAGCCAGCCTTGTGAGCCTCTATCTTAAAAAAAAAAAAAAATCACAAAAAAAGAGTTGGTGGAGAGGCTCAAGGTGTAGGTCCTAAATTAAAATCCCAGTGCTCCCCACCAACCAAAAAAAGACCCTATGTCAACCAACAAAAAGTTGGATGTGGTTGCATGCACCTGTCATCCCAGCTACTTGGAAGGCATAAATACATTTCCTTGCAGAAATGTAAAACCCTCTTTGAAAAATAAGTAAAAAAATGGTTGGTGGTGTTGATCAAGTGACAGAGCACCTGCCTAGCAAGCATGAGCAAGACTCTGAGTTCAAACCCCAGTACCGAAAAAAAAAGAGAAAGAGAGAGAAGCTTGACATTATTTTCTCAGAAACACAGCTCACAGAAGCTGACTGTGGCATGAACACGGGTTAAAGGCTTGCCCTAACAAAGGCAGCCAATAGGTGGAAGCAAAACCTTGCTTGGGTTTTATGTTGAAAGAAACAGACATGGGCTTTGGATCTAAGGTGCTCTGGACTCCTCCCACTGTCATATGGTGAGCAGTGACAATTTCTTCTGAAGGGACACGGTGCTGTTCTGCTTTTTCTATTATTCCTCCTTCTCCATTTACTTGTTCTGAACAACTTTGGCTGAGTATGCGCCATCTGCCCAGGCTGGCAGTGTTCCACCTAGACCTCCGGCACTGAGGGGAAAGGCATCCTTTTCAAATTACACCCAAACACTCAGAGAGCCACTGGAGAGGCTTTTTCCTTAGCAGCTCAAAACGCCTTACTTGTGAAGTTCTGTTCTCATTGTCTCGTATCCTTTCCTTAACCAGCCGCACAAGAGATGCAATATTGTAAAATTCTGCTTCTTCCAGCACACCTAGAACAAGGATCAAGACTGCAGTCAGAGTTCACCAGAAAAACAGCAATAAACAAAAATGCTTGCTGCATTTTTCAAATACAAATCCAGTCTGTCTCCTTCTTTAGGAACTATCTCTACCATTTAGGGCACACCACAGCCTTGACTGAGTCAAGTACCAGGGTTAGTTTGCTCTTCATAGTTTCACCTCTACTGTTTCCTTCTGGCACCTGCCCACTAGTTGCAGGACACCTTTCCCATATGTCACTTACCTCTTGGAACTAGTCACATTGGACACTGCCTGAGCTTGCAATTTTTACTGTTTTCTCTAAAAAGGACTGGTGGATTAGCTTCTGCACTAAACTTATGTGGATCAAATTTAATAGGACACTTATTATTTGAACAATATAATCAAGGCTGGGGTTCTAGCTCAGCGGTAGAGCACTTGCCTAGCATGGCCAAGGCCCTGGGTTTGATCCCCAGCTGCAAAGATTGAAAAAAAAAAGAAGGCAATCATTGAAAGTCTCTCATAAATAAAATCAGAGACCTTGTCAAGAACAACTATGGGATTTGTGATATTGTACCAGAAGAAATAGTGCTATAATTGCCATTATTAGAACAATTGACAAAATTAGAATATAAAAGATACAATTATTTATCAATAAATTTTCAGAGTTTGAAAACAGGGTATGTAGAATGGTCTTGCTCTTGGGAAAAACATACAGAAATATCTGCAGTCTATTCTCAAAAAGTTCAGATATAAAAACAGGGAAATAAAATAGGGAAGAGAGACAAGAGGGAGGGAGAGGAGAGAATGATAACATAAATGTGACAAAAAGTGTTAAAAATTAGTGAATCTCAGTAAAGGGAGTGCTTTATGCTTTTCTTGCCTTTTTCTCTAAATCCAAAATTATTTCAAAGTAAAGGCTCTCTTTTATTAGAGCCTTAGAAAAAATTACCTATGAGTAGGAAATTGAAGTGGAACAGTGGGTGCATGGAATGTATTATACTATTCTCATTACTTTTGTATGAGTTTGAATTTTTTTTTTTTTTTGGTAGAACTGGGGTTTTGAACTCAGGGGTTACAAAACAGGAGCTCTCCACTTGAACCACACTTCCACCCCATTTTGCTCTGGTTTTTTGGAGGTGGGCTCTTGAAAACTATTTGCCCAGGTTGGCCTCGAACCTCTGATCTTCCTGATCTCAACCTCCCAAATAGCTAGGATTACAGGCATGAGCCACCAGTGCCCGGACTGAAATTAAAAAAAAAAAAAAAAACCAAAAAACAATATTATAAAAGGAGTGTGTTTCCAAAATGCCAAGGAAGTGAGAGAGACAGAGGGAAAGAAAGAGGGAAGGAGGGAGGTAGGGGGAGAGAGATTCCTAGTTAAACAGACTGAAATAGAGTTATTTTGTAATAATTTCACTAATGAGGACACCCATTACAAGCTTTCTTACTGAGAGCTAAAGCTCCCAGATCAGGGTGCCCTGGATTTAATAAAGGGACCCAGTTTTCATCTCCAGAGCGTCCAAGACAAGCCTTTAGAAAGAGGACTAGATACACTTATAGCCCAATTGCTCTACAAACCAGAAAAGTGAGGCAACCAATGATACACCTGACAATGAACTACAGAATAAATTAGGTCAGCTGCAAAAATTTATAGGAAAGCATGAGACCAGAGTCTTAAAAAGAAACGAGGACAAGCCTTTATTATTTTTTTCAGCTGCAAGTTCAAACTAAAATTGAAAATATAAACAAGTGAATGTCAGAGAGTGCTACTTTAGACTATGGACATTCACTGCTAGCACATAAATAAACATAAATAAGGATTGTGACAATTCTGCAGATTCAGGCAAAACTCCTAAAGCTATCTGCAAAGCTGAGCTACCTATTTTCTTCTTACTAAAGAATCTGAACAGAGCCCAATGGGGCTTCCTCTAACAAGATTCTCTTAGACAAGCCTAGGTAACTAGAGATTTCCTGTTCACTTTCATAAACCTGTCCTGAACACCTGCATACAAACCCAATGAAATCTCAAACTAAACTTGAGTCTGAAATAGCTGTAGTTGACCTGAGTATTGAAAATGCTCAGTGCAAGCTGGGAACCAGTGGCTCACACCTGTAATCTTGGTTACTCAGGAGGCAAAGATTAGGAGGATAGCAGTTTGAAGACAGTCGAAGCAAACAGTTCTCAAGATCCTATCTCGAAAATACCCATCACAAAAATGGGCTGGCAGAGTGGCTCAAGTAGTAGTGCGCCTGCCTAGCATAAAAGAAAAAAGAAAATGACCAGTGCAAACAGTGTTCTTACCTTCTTCTGCCAACTCCTTAGTAATGATGAGTTTCCCATGGCGGAGGTAGTTTAGGATAGGACCAAAGTAGGTGGGGTCTCTGTCAATCAGATAGGCTCCTGTCTCATCCTGCCAACCAAGCACAAGGGTATCACTGTGAGGCTCTCAGGAGCATTTTCTTCCTCCTTTTCCCCCCCTCCCCCTTCTTAAACTAACTTCCACAGGTTTCAATGCTCCATATTCATACATGTATAGAAGATACATCGACCATTTTCACCCTTTTGGGAGCATTTTTTTTTTTTCTGGCAGTACTGGGGCTTGAACTCAGGGTCTCATGCTTGCTAGGCATGCACTCTACCACTTGAGTCACTCCACCAGCTCTTTTTCATGCTGGGTATTTTTGAGATGGTGTCTCATGAACAACTTGCCAGGGCTGGCTCCAAAGGGCAATCCTCCTAATCTCTGCCTTTCAAATAGCTAGGATTACAGGAGTGAGCCAAGGCACCTGGCTTCAGGAGCACGTTATTTAATCATAAATTCTTTTTATTAGATATATTCATCATTGGGGGGGAATTCATAGTCTCAATTCCGATTAGGTTTATATTATACATTGGTTAGATCACCCCCATCAGCGTTTTTAAACAGAGCACTTTCCCCTCTTTGTCAATACCCTAAGGAAGCAATTCATTCCATCAGCTAAAAAAAAGTTTAGTGAGGGTAAGTTTTGGTAGACATTTGCTTATTGCAAATGCTTGGCTAAAAGGCTAGCTTTATGCATCTTGTGCTTCAAGATCAGTTCAGGTCAGGTGTCACAGATGCAGTCATACCCACCATCAAGGCATTTATTTACTGGCTTGAACTTCCAGTCTTTGCTCACGGCAATTCCCAACATTCTTTTGTGGGATACTGGTACAAGGGAAGAAGAAAGTGCCACAGCTGTGTGATTTAAATCTTTGCTTGAGATGCATATTCTGACTTCTCCATTGCCCCTGAACCACATTCCTAATTCTAAGAAAATCTCTGTCCAGTTGGCAATCCTCTTGAACTCAAGGCCAACATCAGTGGGAGTCTGCATTGCCAGCTGTAATACACACCCTAGCTCTGTGCCCAAAGGAAGTGTGGTACTGCCAGGACTTGGCTCTGAGCAGCTTTAATCCTACTCATCTTTACAGTAAAAGGAACAAAAAGAAAACTGGCTTATATGGCCATAAGGAAGAGCTAGGATATGTAAAAATAATTCCTTATAAACATGGGTTCTGCAATCTCTTTAAAGTTAGGACAGGATAGGTTTCTATCAATTTGACATTCATGATAGCAGAGGAATAGATGAAATCAGCAAATGTTTATCCAAGTCTGACTGTTGCAAAGTAACCAGATGAGCGCTGTACAGGATATAAGGTAGTATTTTAACATATGGTCAATGCCTTTACATTGGGAACTAAAGATGGACCTGTAAAAGTTAAAAAGAAATTTAAACAACAGTTCAAACTGGAAATGGGTGAAGTGTTTTGTCACCTCTCAACCCTTTGGGTAGCATCCACACATCTTGCCCAGTAACATTCCTAGGTCTTTTTTCATTTGCTCTGGGTCTTGACAGGTCAGCTTCCATTTGCACTGGCAAATGCAATCTCTTTCCAAAGGACACATTTGATTTCAAAGACAGACCTAAACAGTGACTGCTACCAGATGCAAGTTCTGGGATCAGGACCTTAGGAAAGCAGTGTGATACCACAACAAGCACTTCCTGCAGCGGTGGAAGCCATCATCACAGACCCAGGCTTCAACCCAACTTGACACAGGGGTCCAAGAAGTCTGAGAAAGCTACAAAGATGCTTTCGCTCACCCTGACCCAGTTCTGGATGCATCTGTCAGTGAGGGGCTGAAGAGGAGCCAGAGAAGAACTCATGCAGATCTGAAAAGCTGGATGAGGTGGCAGAGAATATGGGAGAGAGGTATAAAGTGGACTCTCGAGGATGCGGCAACGCTGGCAGCGTGAGAAAGGAGCAGCTGAGGAAGGGCGGTGTCAGACGGCAAGCCGAAGAGTGCCGGAAAACAGGGAAAAACGAGGAAGGGGTCTTTCTGAAGTTCCCGGGACTAGCCTGGGGGACATATGAAGGATAGGGTCTCGGCCTGAGTGACCTGCCTATAAGAAGCATGCCCCGGAACTCCGGGGGACAAGCCTAGGAGAAAGGAGGGTTTCCAAAGGCCCGGGGGCGCGCCCGAGGGCGGGGCGCACCTTGTCCGAGTCCAGCTCCGGGTCCTCCTGGCAGCAGAGGCGGCAGAGGAAAGACTTGGGCTCCCGGCCTAAGGTCTGCCTGGTGGTCACGAAGTAGGTGCCGCCCACGTTCAGCCGGACCCAGCGGGCCGCACCGCCGACCCCGGCCCGCTCTGGAGGTCCCGGACCCGGCTCCAGTGGCTGCGCGATGGCGGCGAGCGGGCGGCTGTGCCCGCGGGGCGTGGGGCCAGCCGGGCGAGGGCTGGGGGGCCCGCGACCCGGTCCACTCCCGTCGCCCACCCCACTCCCTCCACCCACTCCCAGCCCCGCCATTGCCGGGTCCAGTTGCAGCTCCGCCATCTTGGGCCGCCGCCGCTGATGCCCGCGCGCCGCCGGGCCGGCCCATTTCTCTGCAGGGAGAGCCGGGCCGGCCCATCGGCGGGGGCGGGGCAGGGGGAGAGGGACGGGAGCGCCCCTAACCAGCGGGGACCCCAGAGGCGCAGGCGCTGAGCCCTCCCTTGGTGGGGCGGGACTTCCGACTCTTACTTCGTTTCTATTGGCTAATCTGTGAAGCCAGGCTCGCCCCTTGGCTTTGTGGTTGGCTATGGGGAGGACTTCCGGTAACTCACTTCCGTTACTTTCTGCTGGGGACTGCTTCACCCGGGGTAGGTGAAGGTGAGTGGGGTTTGGAGTATTGCGTTCGAGTCTGGAGGGCTGCACTGCTCGGCGTCCTCCTGACCTCGCGCCGGCCCTTGTTGCACCTCTCCAGTGATGTCGGACCCTAGGGGTGCCTTGCTGGCAGGGCGTTTTGCCCTGCGCTCCCTTGCTCACTCCTCCCCGGCGCGCGAGGTCGCGGGGCCTGGCTGTGACCGGCCGCCCTAATTTAGGCGCTGCCTCAAACTGTGTCACGGTCAGTCGGCTCCCAGCAGGCCTGCCTCAATAGTGCGTTTTGGGGACAGGGAAAACGTAGTACAGACATAGTATCAGCTTGCTGAGGGACATTGGGCAGGCTGCAGAGCTACGCGCTCCCCTCCCTCTGGAGGGCTCTGGGAGTCCCAGTGCAAGGCTCATTTGCGTGATGTGCAAATACTCACTGCACCTCCTATGCGCATGGACTGTTTTAGGCGGTGGGGACTGGGCAGCAAACAACAGAAAACGTTATTTGCTTTTTTCTGGTGCATGGGAAAGTCTTTGTAAGGGCGCCTGGCTCCCTATCTTAAAGAGACCTTTGACTTTGCAGTCTTTTCATGTCTTGATTAAGTTGACTATTATCTTGCGTTTCTGTCCTGGTTTAAAGAAGGCTGCAGTTGCTTTCCGTCTTCTCTCACATTCACCAGCGTGTTGAGTATCTCTTAAAATGTAGGGCAAGTGTAAATGCTGTGGGGAATTACCAGACATGGATAAGATGCAGGTGTATGACTAACCTGGCAGGGTGAGGGCAGAGAGCCTCTGAAATTTGTATAAGACTGTACCTTAAGTTATGTGCACAGGTTTGATACTTCTAACAGTCTTCTGAGCTGTGCAGGACTGATACTATCTCTAGTTTACAGAAAAGAAAATTTTATCCCAGTCTGCACTGCTTAAACCTTGTTGAAATTTTAGTGTGTGTCAAGTTTTGTGCACTGGAGAATATGTGAATAAAGCACGATCTGGGTGGAAATGTATTTAAGTGATTTTCTGTACAATGTATGAATGTTATTGTAGCAGTATATCCAAAGACACAGGGAGAGCAAAAAGAGACCTGGGTTTTTAAGGATGAGTAGGAATTGGGAATGGAGGAAGAGCAATCCATGGGCAAGGGGGCTGAGGATGTGGCTTAAGTGGTAGAGCACTTGTCTAGCAAGTGTGAGCCCTTAGTTGTAATGCCAGCACTACAAAAACAAACAAAAAAACTCTACCAGGAGAGAATATACTTACATGCCAGATTATACAGCTTGAATTTGGTAAATTATTGACTGTCCTTTTTTGATTTAGTAATCTTATTTTATTTTTTTTCCAAGCAATTAGTTTGAGGTTTTATTATCTCTGATGGGTATCTCACTATAGTTATGTTTTGGTTGCACATTTTACTTCTGAATTTCTTTTTTTTTTTTTTTTATTATTCATATGTGCATACAAGGCTTGGGTCATTTCTCCCCCTGCCCCCACCCCCTTGATTTAGTAATCTTAATTCCTTTAGTTGAAAATAGACCCATTAAGTGCTCAAAGGATGCAGATGTCTTTTTCTTTTTTTGAAACTACTGGGATCTGAACTCAGGGCCTCACAGTTACTAGGCTCTACCACTTGAGCCACTTCACCAACTCTCTTTTGTGTTGGAAATTTCACAAGATAGGGTCTCTCAAGTTATTTGCCCTAGTGAACCTTGATCCTCCTGATCTCTGTCTCCGGAGCAGTTAGGATTACATGTGTGAGCCACCAGTGCCCGGGTTGATTTCTTTCTTAAAGACATACATGTTGCTAAGTTGCCCTTCTGAGGATTACAGGAGTACTGTTTTGATCTGACTTGTTTTATTTTCCAGGATCCCAATATGGCTGGGCGCAAACTTACTCTAAAAGCCATTGACTGGATAGCTTTTGGGGAGATCATACCCGAAACCAAAAGGCTGTTGCTAACTCCCTGAAGTCCTGGAATGAGACCCTCAGCTCCAGGTTAGTGTGTTTCTGAGAAGGAGTTCCATACTTGCTATTGAATCTAAAAACGTTTTGGAATTACATAAGAATTTCTGGTACTCTTCTGACAAAAGAATAAAGAAATCCATGTATTTTCCGAATAAAGCATTTTTGGCATTTTCTTGGTGACCCTATAAGTGTGGTGACACTCAGTTTCAGTGTGAATTTTCTGTTGCATATGGGACAATCCTAATTTTTGCTTTTCTATGTGAGCAGATTGGCTACATTACCTGAGAAGCCACCAGCTATCGACTGGGCATACTACAAGGCCAATGTGGCCAAAGCAGGCTTGGTGGATGACTTTGAAAAGAAGGTGAAACTTCACATAACTGTAGCATAGGTCTTATAAATCTCAAAGGAAGTTTAGGAAAGATGGTTTTAGCCATATGCCTTCTAATAGTGGTAGATTTAAATGGTGGATAAGTGCAGAAAATTCAGGGTAGTTCATTCAACAGTATAGGATAGCCTTGCTCCTGGGAGCCAGAGAACTGTCAAGTTAAAAGTTTCTGCCCAACTCTTCCTGACTTTCTTTTTAGCCTTCCATCTGTCTTCCTTTTGTACAAGCTAACATGTTTTCTACTCTTTTACTGTTTTCATTTTTTTCTCTTCCCTGTCACTTACAGCTATAATTTCTCATTCACCTATCCTCCTTGGATACTTACTTGAGTCTCAATATCCAGAGTTTGCTTATGCATTCAGACAGTTATGGAGGACCTGCTCCACAACTGTTGTTGTGGTGTTGGGGATTGAACTCGGGGCCTCAAACATACTAAGCAAGTATTCTACCACTGAGCTATACCCCAGCCCTAGGCAGTCCTTTAAAAAGCATTTCTGTCTTCATTACATGAAACATGAATCATGATCATGGTTTCTGCCAGTCAGCCCTCTAGGGTTTCATGTGAAAGAAATCAGAACTTCTTTAGAATGTGAGGTGTTTGGAGGCCATTTTCTTGGTCATCAAGTCTAACTGTCCTTTTCAGATGAGGAAACTGAAACTCATTGTAATAAAAAAAAAATTATCTAAAATCTGTAGGTAGTTTGTGGTGGGGCTAAGACCCTTGAGTTTCTGTTCCTAGTAAAATATTCTTTCCACTATAACACCAAGATGCAGACTGGTTTCCTCTTGGGATGGAGAATTGTTTTACTCTATAAGGAGTAGCAATTTTGAGCCCTTTCTTTGGGCTCCTGGGTATGTTGGTGACAATTCACTGTCTGTTTGTAGTTTAATGCCCTGAAGATTCCTATGCCAGAGGATAAATATACTGCCCTGGTGGATGCTGAAGAAAAGGAAGATGTAAGTAGTCTATGCTCTTACTTACTCTGAAAATTTTTAACAGTGATAGCTCTTATTTCTTAACAGCTAGGATAGGTAGAGTAAATTAAATTAAAAATTAAGGAGTGTAAAAAAGAAAAAAAAATTAAGGAGTTGATAGCAATAAAAAGGAATTAATTAAATGCATCAACATGGATGAATTTCAAAATAATTATGCTGAGAGAATGAAGCCAGCAAGGAAAACACATATATACCATATGATTCCATTCTATAAATCTCTAGAAAATTGACCTACTCTATAGTGTCAGAAGGCACATCAGTGGTTCTTTGGGGATGGGAAGGAGAGAGGTGATAGATATGTTCACTTTTGAGTGGAGTGTGATGATCCCTTAAGGAGTTGGAATTAGGTAGAATAATTCTCCAAGTAGTACTCAAATACCTGATTATTTGCCTGAAAGCACTGAAGGCCAATGTTGGAACCCAGGTGGCTTTCCCAAAGGTAAGTATACCTTGATGGTCGTGTGGCTTATCCTGAATGTTCAGTGACAGCCCCTTGAGGCAGGCCATCGTAGGCTGTTTTCCTGCTTGGGATTTGTGGATGGTAGGAAAAGCTGAGGTTTACCTGCCAAAGTAAGAGTCTTCCATTTGTGAGGGCAGCTATTCCTCCATGGCCCAGTCCCCTCATACTGGAGCCTCAGGGTCAGGACATACTTTGGTTCCAGAACAGAATTTCTCCCTTCTCTTAAAGGTGAAAAGTTGTGCTGAGTTTGTGTCTCTCTCAAAGGTGAGGGTTGCGGAATATGAGAAACAGGTAAGAATGAGCCATGGTCTTTGCCCATGGTGTATTTTTTATCTCTTTTTCCCACGATACTTCTTTCTTCACCTAATGACAGTAACTTACCTTGGATTCTTATTTTGACTCTATGGTTTTATTTCCCTTGACTGAACATATTTCCTCTTTCCAGCTGGAGAAAATGAAGAACATAATTCCTTTTGACCAGATGACCATTGAGGACTTGAATGAAGTCTTCCCAGAAACAAAATTAGACAAGAAGAAGTATCCCTATTGGCCTCACCAGCCAATTGAGAATTTATAAAATTGGGTCGAGGAGGAAGCTCTGCTCCTTACCTTACAAGCTCTGGACAATAAAAATAAAAGTAATGCTATAGTTCTAGGTGTGTCACCTTCTCTGTGGTTGAGATAATTAGACCTCTCCTCTGAGGTGGAGTCATTGGAAATGGGCATCTTAAGTGGAAAGGTGAGCCTGTGGTGTGTGCTGGGCCAGTTGTATGAGGATCAGAATACGGAGGAGCTAATCACTGAGGCCCCAGGGCTGTTGAATTTCAAGTAGGGCCTAGGACAGTGTGTCACTGGGTAACGGTGAGAAAGAAGCAATGTCTGTTGAGGCTCTTGAACTTCCTCTTTGCTTTCAAACCTCTAGAACCAAGGAAGTGCCCCCCTGTCTTTCAGTGAGGAAGAACAGCCTATCCAAGTTACAGATGAAACAGGGATGGACTGCTTCAG